ATATTACATAGGTGATTATCCAAATTTCACTGTCGGTGGGTTTTGAACTCACAACCTACCACTTGGAGGTATGACAACTTATCCACTTCACTAAGTCGCCACACCCCTATTGTTTTATTTAAAAAATACTAAATACAATTTAATTTTCCAGGCAAATTTGTCTGGAATACAGTTTAAGGGATAATTTATATTAGTTAATTTACATAATAATAAATTAATAATAAAAATTTAATTTTTACTTGACATGGAAATGCATTATCATATATTCTAAATAAATAAACTTTATATAAAGATTTAAAATAAATTTTACCTTAATTATATAAAATAATTTTTGTTTGTCTCTCATTTTGTATATACTGTACCTATAACTAAGAAGAATAATAACGGGTATGTCTCTTCTGCCATTGAGCAACCTACGCAGCCTTTGCGAGTATCAGCTAGCTATTATGCGCTTTCTCAATATAGATTAAGACTTAAAATATTCCTATTATTTCTATTATTCATAGCAGTCATCCTAACTGGCCACCTAATCATTGCAACTATTGTCCAAACAGGTCACAATTCAAAAAACTGCAAACTGCAAAAACTGTGAACACTGTGAAAACTGTGAAACCTACCCAACCTTGCCCCTTTAGACATAACTGCCGTCCTGGCAGGCCAGTCCACTACAACAATGCTTAATTCATGGGAAGGGTGGATGGGTTGATATAACCAGAATGAAAGTCGGGTTCGCAGAAAAGACAAAATTACCTTTCAACACTTTCACAACTCTTACCCTTATATACTCCTATTTAATTACCTCATAATTACTCAAATACCTTATACTAACAACAGTACTAGTCACATGTGCCATACTCTTATCAATGACCGCATTAACCAATTACTTAAATTGCCTCATTCTTACCAAATACTAAATCATTAATCAAACTCCCAACTATTATCACATCATTAATTACTCAAAACTTTATTCTTACATCAATGCCTTATTACTAATTTACCTATTACTTCATACAATAACGATCATCAATTGAACATGTGATCGTAATAGGGCCTATTACATGTTCGATCAAGTAATATCTGATTCGAGACAAAAGCTGCTCTGATACTGCGTATCGAGCAGCTATTTTGTTTGTTTTTCATTTTGTGTATACTGTACCTATAACTAAGAAGAATAATAACGGGTCTTTCAGAGTATCGTGACAGGAAAGAATTATAAATTTGTATCAGCACCCAAAATACAACATTCTAAAAAAGCCTAACATGACATATTCACTCATTATCTTTAAAACCCATCAAAGCTGATGCCCCTAATTTAGCTGTTCCTACAGATCTCATATACAAACGAACAGCATTAGAGACCCAACCACTAATAGATTGAATCTGTTCCAAAGACATCCCTCCTTTTATGGCTGCAGTGGCACCTCCAATCCTTAAACTATATGCAGTAAACCTACCCCTTAATTTTGCATGCTCTGCAAAACATTTTACCACTGCAGTAATTGATGAAACAGACATTCTCCCATTAGATTTAGACAAAAAAAAAGGTGCATCTTCTCCTGTCTTAGGTCTCACTTTAAGATATTCTCTCACTCTAGCCACTGGACAATACCTACTGTTAGTTATCTCAATAGGCACAAACTTTCTCTTAGCTAATTGATCTGTTTTCGACTTGTTTATCCTTATCCACAAAAAACCATTTCTTATTTCTACATCTTTTCTATTTAACTCACAGAGTTCTCCTGACCATCTTATTGTTCTGAGGCCTAACGTGACTAAAGCCAAATCATGAGCCCACATTACATAACTAACTCCAACTGGTGGCATATCCAAATATCATTGTACTACATCCACTGGCAATGAGTCCCTGGGCCACTTTACTTCTGCATATTTTGTCATAACCCTTTTAATGCTATTAACAACTGCCTGTACAATACTACTCTTAGTTGGATCATCTAATCCCTTTAACTTATGCACTTTTGCAATCGCAGCCAAACATCTTTGAATTTCCAAGCCCTGACCAGACATATCCAACCAAGCCAAAAACGCTACCAAAGTCGAAACTGTAGTGGGGCAAGACTTGTGTCCAATCTGATTTGTAAACTCTACAAATCGGCTCCAAACTTTTTCTAACCTTCTTTTATAAACGACACTGATAGCCTTATCCCTAAACTAGCTGCATGTTTTAAAAGTCCTTCGACCAATCTATCCGAATTGCCTTCAGTCTCCAAAGACTGTTGTTGAATGGTTCCATATAACCTGAAGGACCTGGCTGAATAATCTCTGTAGGAGAAGGTAACTCTATCTCCTTCCTCTTCGATTGGACAATTATTGGCCACCAGGAAGCCACAACCTACACTGGCACAATAATTACTATCACAGCCCCACACTCCTTTGCATGCACTAAGGCATGATGAATCACGCCAAATGGAGGACAAATGTAATTTTTGCACCCTTTCCAATTCTGCGTGAAGCAATCCACTGCTTCTATTCCTGGACAAAAATGCAAGCTTTTGAACCTTTTTAGCTTTGCATTCTTGTGATTTGTGAACCTGTCCACATCAAAAACCCCCCACTTTCTTTGTAACAAGTCCACAATATTTGTATTCATCTCCCAATCTCCAAAATCGATTGCCTGTAACCACCCATCTGCTGGGTTTTGTTTGCTGATGATCCATCTTGTATGGTAAATTTCTATATCTAGCTCTACACACAACTTCCAAATTTCTCTGGCAATATCCTTTTGTCATTGCAAAGGGCCTCCTTTGATTACTGCATTCAACACCATCTTGTTGTCTATTATCAACATGACCTATGAACCTCTTAAGAGATTTCCAAAAGACTGAAGAGCTCTCAATACTGCGATTGCTTCTAACTGGGCTATAACATCCACTGTTAAGGTTCAGGACCAATTTCCTAATACCACTAACCCTTGGAAGACCCCACACCAACCTACTATTGAAGCGTTCACGAACAGGGTCTTTACCTTTGAGGGCTTCCAAGCAGGACATCCATTCCAAACCCTTAAATTCTCCACCAACTACTGGATATCCTCTATTGCCTGTCTTGATAATGTAACAACCATATCCCAATCATTCTAAGACTGGTTTTTCATATCTATCAGCTTGTAAAATTCAGACACTTCATCTGCGCAGGAGAAAAGGCTCTTGCCAGGCTCTGTATCTTCTCTGCTACAGATGCCAGCTTTCGAACAGGAACTGCCAACCTTTCTAACAGTGCTTCTAATTGTAAAATCGCAGAAGCAATCTTTTCTTCTGGCGCAATCACTACACCTCCTACTGTATCGATTACTAGACCACAAAACTTTGGCATTTGAATTGGGTCCCAGCTTCCCTTTTTCTTTGCACGGATCCAACTGCAACCTCTCAAGTCCCTCTCTATAACCATTTCTTGCTGTTCTAACAAGATATTTCTCGATGGATGCGCCACCCATACATCGTCCAAATAATTTCTACAAAATATTCCCTTCGATCTCTAGCTTCCTATTAATGCCTTCATTATCTTTGCAAAAATCCAAGAAGACTGGCATAGCCAAATGAAAGCACCTTGTAGTAAAACCACATTTCCTTGAAGAAAAAACCTAGAAAATGTTGAGCTACATCATTCATTAAAATATGATGATAGCCCTCCTTGAGATCGAAGGTTAGCACCCACCAATTCCTTCCTATCATTTTTAACAAGAACCCCAAGCCTTCGAACTTAAAAACCTTTTTTGGCAACATCTTGTTCAGCCTCCTGAGATCTATGACCAAACAGAACTTTTTGGGACCTTGTTTGGGAACTACGAAAATAGGACTTACTTCCAGAAGAACGTCTGGTCTCGTCCTTCCTTGAGCAACCAATTTGATTGCCCTTGTCTTCTTCAACCTCTTCAACTCTGCATCTATCCATTCCTGCTCTTTCATAGAGAAATTTCTTGGCTTGGGTACCACCTTCATAGCAAGACTCATCATCCTTTTCAGAAAAAGAGGAATCCTTCTCTCTAACTAATTTAATACTAACAGTACCAGATTTATTACCTTCTTCCAATACCTGACTGCTTTTGCAGAGTGCACTCTTCCTGTCACATACAACTCGCCATTTTTCTTCCACAAGTCCTCTGGTTCTACACTCTTCTCTTTCTACCAAGGATTGTCAACTCCTTCTCTGCTTTGAGTTATCACCTCAAAAGGGCAAATTCAAGTGTTTACATGACCCGCATTCTGAAGCATAATGCCCTCTACCTTCACATAAATAACAAACAACTTCTTTCACCGAATTAAACTTCCTACTCCCATTTAAATTCTTGAACCCAAATTTAGAAGAATACCTATTACCCTGTCACACACCTTTGGTCTTCAAAAAAGGATCTTGAGAAGACCCACACTGTGAAAATTGCTGTCCCATAAAGAAAGGATTTGCTGCACTAATACCCCCAACTGGGGAAGCTGAAACCAACCCTTGTTGGTTTGGCAATTGTTGCCAAGCTGGTACCAAAGGAGGTTGAGGCTAGAAAAATACAGGTGCAACGGCTTGACCTTGCCAATTCAGCAACAAACCTTGCAGATTATCTTGGCATCCTCCCATTTTCGGGTTCTTCTCATGAAAGACTTTCAGTTTCTTGTTTTTTTCAAAATTCTGTGCAGCTAATCTGGCTTTTTCTCTCTTTTTCTAAAAAGTTGTGACATTGGATTCATCGAATCACTAGAAGCCATCTTTGCTGCAACTTCCCATCCATCTTTGTCAGCTACTCTAACAATATAAGCTCTTTCTAGAGCAATCTGTCTGGCCAACAACAGATAATTAAGCTCACCTGTATTAAGAGCTTTATCAATTAACATACCAGCCTTATACCATTCATTAAACTCCCATTGATTTCTAGCCTTGGACAAACTACACTTACTCCATAATCCTAAATTTTCACTTTCACAATCCAAAACACCTCTATCCCTACTCGGAAGTTTCTATAACTGATGTAAACTTGATGTTCTATCTCCCAAGTTCTCAATACCAGTTTTGTCATTGACGGGAGCACCCTAGTCACGTATAGGAAGAGAGTTTTCTGTATCGCTCATTATATTATTCACATTTGCTATCTTAACTTTTCTAAACAATTCATCAGGTAATTCCTCTCTAGCTTTATATTCACTAACCAATTTACCTATCAAATTCTGCTTTAGACCCACATTTGAAATACCTATACCTTGACATAAAAACTTCAACATTTCAGGTGATAGTCAGCCAAAATTTGCTACGAAATTGACTTAGCCACGTGACTGATCAACATCATTAGTCTGCAATGTCATTGTTTCCTCATCAACTATAGTTACTTTATTCTTTTCTGAATTGCCAGTCATTAAATTAATTTGCTCGATATAACCAGAACGAAAGTCAGGTTCACAGAAAAGACAAAATTACCTTTCAATACTTTTACAACTCTTACCCTTATATACTCCTATCCAATTACCTCATAATTACTCAAATACCTTATACTAACAATAGTACTAGTCAAATATGCCATACTCTTATCAATGACTACATTAACCAATTACTTAAATTGCCTCATTCTTACCAAATACTAAATCATCAATCAAACTCCCAACTATTACTATATCATTAATCACTCAAAACTCTATTCTTACGTCAATGCCTTATTACTAATTTACCCATTACCTCATACGATAACAATCGTCAATCGAACATGTGATCATAATAGAGCCTATCACATGTTCGATCGAGTAATATCTGATTTGAGACAAAAGCTGCTCCGATACTGCATATCGAGCAGCTATTAGTTAATTTAAATAAAATTATTATTTTAAATTTATAAAAAAAACTTACTTCTTATTAAGAAGAAAATAGTAATTGAATTTGTTGTGCATAATCCTAAGAAATATGAGTTGTAATATTTATAGAATTAGGTTTTCCAGAATGTACTAAATTACTAATTCCAAATTTTTGAATATTATTATATACAATATTAATATAATTTCTATTAAATTTAAATAAATTAAGGGTATGGCGACCTAGTGAAGTGGTCAGGTTGTCAACCCTCCAAGTGGTAGGTTGGGTGTTCAAATCCCATCGA